CTTGCAAACTGTCACCCCAACTAAGCCACTGAGCCCAAAAAACATCATACTCGTTTCACCTGGGCGAGATCTATGCCTAGCCCAGGCAGCCTGGCAGGATCCATAGCTGCTTTGCAACGGCCTTCGCTGGGACAGCAGGAGCTCAGAAAACGCTACTCGCTGCAAAAGAAGAGCCGTGCATAAAATCGTCCATTCAATAACGTATCGTATCCGACTTACCACCTACAAGATGCCAGAGTGATATGACAGAAGACCAAACTGCAGCATAGGAACAAGCGCAACCACAGATGCCTGGCAAGCTTCAAAGTCACCATTATCAGGAGACTGGCCCACACAATTCTCCCTCACACCTGCTACGCAAGCGGATCCAGACAAGCCAAACCTGCACATGACACTGAACCACGCTTTGACGAAGGCTCCAGTATCCACGGGCTGCTTCAGGTATCCCCTACAAGGACTCAGCGTTCCCCTGAAAGCGACCTGGGATGCATCCATGTAATCTCGGCTGAGCTATGCTGCCCCGTACGGGCCTGCGCTTTTTGCGCGGCCTGCTCACAAGGATCCCCACCTCGCACGGGTCGTGGGATTCGGCGCTGCGCAGCAAAGTACAGTGCCAAACTAGATGACAACAGCCCGATGTCGCACCTGGCCAGCACAGCGAGCTCTTCACCATGGATGCGCCGCCCAAGGAGTCTGGGTTGTCCATGAAATCCATCCACCGGAAGGATCGGGCTTTGAAATGCATTGAAAGATCGGATTGAGAAGGTGAATTCATGTAACATGACTACACACTTGAAGCTCACTGTGAAGCCACGGGGATACGACAGCTGCAACCCTTGGTTAAAGTCCGGCCCAGAGAAGCAGAGTCAAGACTAACTCAAGCGTACAAAGTCTACGCATGCATCGCAGTGCGTGGCGAGCTCGGGAGGGAAGCTTGCGTCGGCATGATAATGCCTCACGTGCTTATGATGTCGCGGTGGTAGATGATCCGTTGACGAGCGTTGTCTAGAGACACAAAACCAGCAACTACATTATGACTGCATGAGCTGACGGACTCGTTTCAGGATGTTTCATGCCATGTCGTTGGTACAGCTGAGAGCTAAGTCTATCTCACAACAAGGGCCTATCAAGCACGCACATGATGTGGTCCATCAGCGGCAAGCACAGGCCCACTGTATTTTTGGTGCACTTTGGAACGCGCTAGCCAGCTTGGGGCCAAGAAATGTTGGTGACCACGCCACGCTCACCTTCGCGCGGGATCCATGTGCACAAAATCAAAGGCCAAGCCCGTCTCAACACTGCCGCATGCCGACCAACCTCGACTTTTTGGGCCCCGACAAGCAGTAAACACAACCACAAGTAGACGCCCAACGCCAAGCGCTTCCTGCAAAATCGCCGTTCACAGGAGCATGCTAAACCGTCAATATGACGAATGCAAATTTAAGATTCTGGGAGCGCCACACCAGCGTGCAGCCAACCACGCGGACCGGCTCCTTTGAAAGAGCTGCGAGGGTCGAACAACAACTGCTAGACACAAGTACCTACTTGTACCGACCGAGCCAATTGACTTGCAGGAGCCTGTCATTCAACCTTTGATCGGCAATCGGCACTTGCATTCAGCCGTTATACATGGCGCGTTGACCGCCTTGTTTGTTATTCGCATGTCTTCGATCACACCGGATCCACTCACAGCAATTCACAGCAGTTCCAACGATTTTGCTCGAGTGAATGCTGCGGCCGTTTGCGACCAAAGCCACATGGACGGAAGTTCATGCCACACTTCTGAACAACCAATAACTGTGTACCATCGGTACCGGCATCGAGCTTTGCTCAAAATCCTGCTCCGCACGCGCCAAGCCTGACTTACGTCCTCGAAATTCACAGCAACGCACGGGAAAAAGGGAATAACGTTGTCCCACCGTGTCAACGTACAGGAGACAATGCAAAATCCTCTGTTCTTGGCATTTCCTGGAGTAATCGTAGCAGGCACGCCTGCATAGCAGGCTTGCCGCTCAAGGAGAGCACAAAAGCTACTGGAAGCCACAGTGGCGCGAGCATTAGCGGGACGATGACCTGCAATCGGCTGGAAAAAAAGGTTTGGTCCACCACATCTCAAGCCTGCCTCGAAAAAACGAAGGACCCGGAAGTCCTGCAACAAGTTGGGGGACGAGTGAACATGCGGTGGAAAAGAAGATGGTAGTATACAATACACTTGCAGTCAACAAAATTGTAATAGCATAGTATAGTATAGTAGCGTCATGAGCGCGCGTACGCCTCGTCATCAGAGTCATCAGAATCACTGGAGCTGCTTGTCCTGACAAGCCGATAACCCTATGCGCAATTCACCGGATCACATGCATGCATGCCAGTCTGAAGTTGAGCTCGAGCGGCAGAAATGCAGCATCTTCAGCATCCATGGTCGGAGACACGCGACAAGACGCTGGAGCAAGGTAATAGAACGCACGAACTGTTCCTCTTTCCACTGCGCAGGATTTGTGTGGGCGAAGCTGTGATGCAGCAATCTAGCAACTCTGAGCCATCCATGAAAGCATGACGGGCGTTTGGCGGAGGTGAACTCGCTCTGATGTAAGAACGGCTGAGGGCCACCCGATCAGCTTCCACAGGGCCACCAAGAAAAAGGAAACCCAGTTTGTTCCCTTGCTCCTCTCTTTCTTCAGCATGAAAGATCTCAGTCGACTCAAAGACTGCAAACTCCAGCAAAGCATTCCGATCAAGGCTGGATGTGATTGCATCCGGCTGCCAGCAATGCATCGCATCTCTTGGTTTTCGTCCCTCTGCAAAGCACAGGTCTGCTCACGCTTGCGGCTCTTGAGTGGGCGCGGCTGGGCCCGTGCTCCCTCACCTGCCTCGGAGGTGGCAGGTCAGCCTGAGGGCGTGACCCTGCTCGACGCCATCGATGCAGGGACCGTCCCGTACATGGGTTACGTCCGGTGGTTAAAGTGGCGTAAGTCCACGGGGACGCGGCCGGTTCGTAGGCGCGATGGTAGGTACACATCGCCGGAAGCGGAAGCGGCCTTGTGGCGCTCCGTGATGGCCTTCCTCTATGACAAGGAGGAAGACGAGGAGGAGGAAGAAGAGGAGGAAGGAGAGGAAGAACACGAAGAGGTCGATCCTCCTCAAGAGCCTCTCGGCGATGACGCCGGAGAAGGCCCGGAGCTCATCCCAGCCGGGGAAGGCTCCGCTCCTCCAGCGGCCCCACCGCGGACCCAGGTGCTGGCGCTCATCGCCGGCGAGCTGGTGCCCTACTGGAACCAAACGGAGGTCTCCAACTACGTGGCCGGAGAGCTGGCCCCAGCGGCCAGGTGAGCTCGGCCATCTCCTCGGCCCTGTCGAGCTACGACGACAGCAGCCAGGTCGACAACAAGATCATCACACCCCGCGGGCCAGACGGACCAGGAAATAGCGGACGCCATCGCGGGCCTCGTCGGCGTCTACGTGCGCTGGACGGAGCTCCAGGCCCCGATCATCAACGAGAGATCAACATAGCGCTGCTCGACTACGACACCTCGGCAGAGGTGGACGCCAAAATCTCGGGCGCCGGCTTCCTGGACCAGACGGCGGGGGACGCCCGCTACTTCGTGCGCGCTCTCTCGGCGCAGAGTCAGGGCAGATCTTCAATTTGTTGCAGGAGCAGTTTACGCCCCGCGTAGTCCGCAATTTGCTCTTGGAAGCGCCCCTGACCAGCGACGCCATCCTCGGCAACCAGTCCACCCTCCGCATCCGTAGCGACAGCTGGTCCAAGGCGGAGGCGGACAACCGCTACATGTATAAATATGTATGTATGTATATATATATATATATATATATCAATATATCAATATATCAATATATATATATATATATATATATTAGATATTAGATATATATGTAAGTATATTACACTTCATTCTGGTATATTTTGTTATATGTTGAACAATCCGCGTAATGCTTAAGACACCCCCAAGAGTTCGTGCGATGGCTTGAGGAAATTTGGGGTCTGCGTCAACACATCTGGGCATCAATCCGGGCACGTCTCTAGAAATAAATGGTGTGGTGTTGCCCCCCCCCCCGCCCCACCGTCATGGTCCCTTATATACGCGGACATTTTGATTCTCCCGGCTCTGTGGCCTGTGGTGTGGTTTCTCCGCCCCGCCCCCTGTGGTGTGGTGTGTTGGGTTTGGCTTGTTAAAACCCCTCACCCACCTGTGGTGCGGTGGTGGGTTTGGGTTATTTAACCCCCCCCTTCCCGTGCTGTGGTGTGGTGTGCCGTCGTGGTATGTTGTGGGTTTCACGTCTAGTGTTTACCCCCCCTTCCCCCGTGGTGGTGGGTGTTGGGCTTAGGGTTTGCACCCGCGCCCCCCTGTGCTGCGGTGGTGGGTTTTGGGCTCTTTAACCCCCCTGCCTTCCCTGTGTGTTGGGTTTAGGGTTTAGGGTGTGGACCGGCCCCCCCCCCTGTGGGTGGTGGGTTGAGGGTTGAGGGTCAGCTGGGCGAAGCGCAGACCGAAACCATGGCAACAGTGACGACCCTCACGAGGATTTCGGGTGTATACCATGCGGGAACCAAGGCAAGGGCGTGTGGGGGGGCCTTTTTCGCAGGCCCCCCCAAGCCAGGCCTCTCGTCCCAGCAAACAGTCACACGTCATGCACGCAACTCCCCCGCAGGGCGGGAGGGATAACCCACAACCATGGAACCACAAGACACCCACACAGGGAACCGGTGTTCTCTGCTTTCAGGGTTTGAGCTTATAGGCTTCAGGAGCTTGCGGGGTTTGGGGTTTATGTGTTCGCGGCGTGGTGGTGGCACTTTGCGATGCTTCTTAAGACTTTACACGTTGTGGTGCGCGAGTGGTTGCTTTCAGGATGGTATTGTGGATCTGCTTTCTCCCTTCGGGGCTCCTTCTCTTCGTGATATGAGGGGCTCGGAGCGTGACAGCCACGCAAACCCTCAACGCAACCAAAAGGCCAAGTTAGTTCGAAACCTTAAGACCTCTGGAACTGACTTAAGCCTCTGGATCCCCTGACACAATGCTGATGACGAACATCCAAACCCCCTCCCCTTGCGAACAAGCCCAACTTTGCTCTGAGGCGGCTACTTGTCTCACATCACTGGAGGTGTCCGTGAGGCCGCGCTTCACCAGGCATTGGATGCAGACCTTCTCAATCTTTTGGTCTCGGGGTTCAGGGCTTCGGGGGTTTTCATTTCGGGCTTCAGGTTTTAGGAGTTGGGGGCCGGCTTTGGCGGTAAGGACTGTGCAGGTTGACGGCTTCGGAGCCGAGGCGGAGCAAACCGAACTGAGGCCGACGCGTTGTGCGCGACCTTCTCCGTGACGCCCAGCCGGCTAATGGAAATCGCGGCAGCTTCGCGCACCTTCCAAGAACGCCAGAAATTCGACCAAGTCCTACAACCTCATACCCTGTTACTGCCCTAAACATCTGAACCCCCTTCGTATAGCTAAGACCTGTTCCTCAACCCGAATCTCTCACTAGCAACTCTAGTACTCCGAAAGCCTTACCAAACTGAAGCCTCACACGCCAAACCCACAGACGCTAAACTCTCCAGGCTGGTGAGTCCCACCGGCGCGTGAGAATCCCGCATGGCATCCGCCAAGTATGGGGCGGCGGTGGCCGCAAACGTCCTGAGCGATGCTAGAGATCCCCAGCATGGACAAGCTTTCAGAAACAGCAACGGCATGCGGCATAAGGCAGGGCATGAATAGAATACCGTAGTACGTACTTAGCACAAACTTTCCAAGCAACATGTGCATTCCGCGAGAGATGGAAAACTGCGAAGGATACATGTGAAATCCAAAACCGGGACCAGGGTCAGCAACCTACTAAAAAAACAAAGGAAGAACACCAGTAAACTCACCAAGGCAAAGGCACCCGATCCGTCCCAAAGAAACGGCGGAGCAGCGCCGGACGACATGATCCGGATCTTTCAGTGTCTGGAGCAGCTTGGGCCTAGGCAAAGCTTCCACATTCGTTGACGGGATCTAGAAGGTACTATGCAGTATAGGGTTTAGGGTTTAGCTGCAGAGCAGCAGACTGGCTCTTCATCAGGCTACCACCCCTCTGGCTTCTGAAGCCCTCGAAGAGAGCCGTGGCCATGGAGTTAAAAGAAAAAGAACCCTAAACCCCAAACCCTAAACCCTAAACCCTAAAAACTGAGGTGGCGACACAGCCGTTGAGGCGCTCTTGCCGCCGATTTGACCTCTGAGGGATCCAAAACCTACAGGCCCAGTTCTGTTTTTGAAAGAATTCTGGGGGCTCTTGGGGGAACTTCCCCCCAAACCCTAAACCCTAAACCCTGGGTGACGAAATTGAGGCCGAGGCCGATGGCCTTTGCTGCGGCGGCCCGAACATGACTCTGGCCGTCAGCCAGGCAAGTAGCCAGTGTGTCGGTGGCCACTGGCGCACCTAAAGTTCTCACTCACAGACCCTCTTTAGAGTTTATGGTTTTGGGTTTAAGGTCCACGAACGTGATCACAACAACTCGTCATGATGCCCGCTGGCACGGAAGCGGGTGAGACATGTTCACTCACAAACGGAGGGAGGCCGCTTGTAGAGATGCATTCACTGCCAAGATGCTCAGCATGCCCAGAGCAGCGGCTGCTGCACTCTTGACTTCGGAACCTTGGGACACTCTGCGTATCCGAACCGAATCGTCTTGCATCCAAAAGCACCCAAAGCCCAACCAAAATCGAAAAGATATCGTTAAACCCCACGAACCCCAAAACCTCAAAAGCCCTAGACTCTTCAGCACTGCACTGTACTTCCAGCCTGAAACTTCCCAACACCCAAAACCGAGGGCCGCGTGACTCGGATCTTCCAATGCGTCCATGAGCACCTCCAGCACTGCCGTGGTGCTCACACCTCCATTTAGGCTAGGGGCTTGTGTTTCGGATTTTTGGATTTGGAGTTCTGGGTGTCGGGCGCCACGCTAAACCTTAAACACCAACCCCAAAAGCCTGGGGCCCAAACTCCTGGTCCCTAGACACTCAAAGCTACACCTTAACCCTAAACCGCTCAACTCAAAGACCCCCAAACCCAGAATGCCCATAACCTCAAACCCAAACCAGAACCCGGAAACCCTCACACCCTAAGCCCAAGACCCCTGAACCGCCCGAGAACCTTAGTTAAAGCCGGGTCACCGAGGTATCCCAGCGAAGTCAGTGCCTGCATACAGGTTTGGGGCTTCAGTTCGGGGCTCCGAAAGAGCTGAAACAACAAAGTAGTAGAATGATACGTTTTCTCGGTAGCAAGAGCAAAACTCATAACTACTGCGACCACCTTTGGTATTGACATCACACATCACATTGACTTTATCAGTGTCATGATCGGCATTGCCATCGTTATCATTTTCGTTATCATGACTTCAATCTTTATCTCTACCAGATTCTACCATTACCAGCAATGCTGAAAACGATTAGCAATACAAACCACCAATAATAGCAACAGTGAAGGTAGCAAAAGGGGCAGCGATAGTCATAACACTGATCATAATTGTAAGGATACGGAGATGCTTATGTGCTGAGGGCTAGGACTTTCAGGCCAAGCGGCGGCAACCCGCACACGCTCCACCGTGTCCAAGGAGGCTTGGAGTAAGGCTGGAAGGGCCTTGGACCAAAAACACACGGGCTTGGGGCTTTCAAGATCGGGTTTAGGGTTGAGGGTTGAGGGCTTAAAGCAATCAATGCTCAGGCTGAAAGCTGTCGTTCTGTCCTTCTTTGCGATCGTTGCGTTATCGTTGGGCTTAGGACGGTCACAGACCACGAGGGCCGAGGTGAGCCGGCCCGTCCCGTCGCGCCTCAGCTGCTGCACGCCCCAACTGGCCAAGTGCCGTTGCGACCTTGGCGGTTCCAACACCAGATGGAAACTTGCGACGATGCTTCAGGGTTTGGACTCTGAGGTGGATACCGCAGCACGGACCTCTTCTTCACGATCGCGGAGGCTCACGATCAGGGACGGCACAGCCGTGCCTGCATGTTCCCCAAGCCTGCCATGCGAGTTGGACTACCTTACCTTGGCAATCTATGCGTTTTGGGCAAGAACGCTCATGTCCCATGCCTCTCTAAAGAACGAGCAGCAGCTCGTCGAATCATGCCTTGGCATCGGAGGGCAGTGCCACTCTCAAGCATGATGCTCATGGAAAGAGCACCCGAAACTGAGGCTGCCAAAGGTCTGTCACTGTCGGTGAGGCAGGTCGTCAGTGCAGGCACCGCGCTCACGACCTGCGCGAGGCTTCATCCTGTTGCCCTGGCTCTACGAATTCCGAGCTGTGAAAGCGACTGCTGGGCCCTGCACCACATGCATCCCCTCCCGGTGGCGCCGGTACCGGGATCCGTCTGGCAAAGCCTCGACCTCGAAAATCGAGCAAGAAAGACCCTCGATCCGGGCTTGAATGTAATCCCCATCCGGCAATAGTGGGATTCGGGGTTTGGGCCGGTAACTGCTCTGGGCTTGGAGTTTATGGTTTGCACCCCCGCTTGCACACCCAGAGACTCCAAAACCCCTTAACGAAGGAATGTGCCTTAAATCTTCTTAGGGTCCCTTTGATAATTGAAGGAAGATTCCTGCATGACTGAGCGACCTTGCCCACGCTTCGTGTCACAGGGCTCAGGGCTTAGAGGGTTTTGGCAGCACTTTGCATTTGTGTTTTTACTTTGCTTGGCTGCTTGCAAGTCAATATGCGACTGCCCCTGTCAGAAGGCTTCTCCAATCACAGCATGTTCACAGAAAGCCAAGATTCCACAGTTGACCGGTAGTCCGGCACATCATACCATTGCACTTCTGCTGCCTCTACTCTCTTCTGCCAGCGGCAGGTGAGCTTACATGGTATTATAGCCCAGACGCAGCCAATTCCACCGAAACGCCTGGAAAGCAAAGCCCTAAACCCTAGACCCCAAACCCTAAACCGCGATGCAAGTCTTTTCGACGCACCCTCTGCAGCTCAGGCCATAGCCGTGCTGGTCTGGCCAGCCATGTTCATCAGCGCTTTCGTGGCCTCAGCTGCAGCGGGCGCCAATCACTCCCTGCACCCAGACCCCAAAACCCCCAAGCCCAACCCGAAACCCCAAACCACAAACCGCAAAAACTTCCATAAACCCCAAAACCACCAAAAAACCCTGGAAAAACCCACAAATCAGAAGCCCAGGCGCGTTCAGCCGAATGCGCCTCCGAGAATCCTTCAGAGCCTCGCAGAGCACCGGCACCACGTTCTCCGCATGCCTGGGCTTGGGAGTTCAGGGCTTTTTTTGGGGGGGGTTTTGGGGCTTTCGTTTTGGGTTGAGGGCCTAGTAGGGTTTGGGGTTTAGGGTTGTGGGGTGTAGGGCTTAGTCTGGGGTTTAGGGTTGTAGGGTTTAAGGTTTAGGCTGGTGGCACCTGGGTGCTTTCAAAAGGGCTTCCGGCATTTTGAAGGTTTTAAACGGTTTTAGAGGAGCTTTAGGGCTGTTAGTAGGAGTGTTATTATGCTGTAGGGGGCGTATACTATTCTTGTGCAAGCTTGGTTAAAGGGTTTGCATCGTGAAGGGGGTCTTACACAGTTTATTTGGTGTTCACGGCTCTCTGTGTTTCGCATGTTCCTGGGGCTAGTCCTCCATCCCGCCCTGAAGTCATCATTTTGCTTGAAAGATGAAACCAATTACATCAGCAGAGATTCGCTTCCATCAGCAGCGATAGCCGATACCTGCCGCATGCGACAGCTGCATCCCCATGGCATCCCAGGGCGGTTACATCCCCAAACCCGGCCTGACAGTCGAGTCCGGATGTTCTTCAGCCAGAATCGCCTGAGCAAAAGCAGCCGGAGGAGGTTTTGTCCAAAAACTCCCGGATGAACCCTTTGAGCCATTGTCACCTCACCAGACTCCTGCAGGCAGCTACAACACATCAAGGAGTTCATGGAGTGAACATCAAATCACCCAGCACAAATACTACAGGCGGCTCGAGCCCGGGCGTAAACCTCACCCCCAGATCCTAAACCCGCCAAAACCCTAAACCCTGAATAGGGTTGGACGGCAAGTGCCAGCTTCCGCGAAGAGCCGAACCCTCTCCGAATCCAAGCCTAGGCACTGCGTGAGGGTAAAGGTCGTGCGCCACGGGATCCCCACTGTCTGCACTTTCCCGGATGCTCCGGCAGAAGGCTGCCTGGCATCTGGTCTCGGCTCCACTCTCCCATCCCGGTTTCTACAGTAGCTGCGTTGATAACGTAGGAACGCAGGGGTCGGGTTATGGCGCTAACGCTAGATCCTATAAATCCTCACAAGACCTGATAAAGATCTTCAAAGCCTGAGGACACAACGTCTTGTAGTATGAACGCCTTAGAGAGAACCTTTTCTCTTCATTGGGGACGTTTCGTATGAAAGTGGCATAAATCCCGCGTGCTCAGTCGGAAACAGAAGATGTGGCATTGACTTGCTGCAGTTCTCTTACAGTTGGGGGGCAGATGCCCTTCTATGTGTATCACAGGTCCTGTCCGAGCGCGATTCAGGCTCGCAAACCAGGGTGAACAACTTCTGTCTGCAGACATAGGTGGGCAGAGCGGTGGGGGGTTCTAGGTCACATCACGGCGGATCGCAGCAATCCCAAATAGAAGCCCTGCAGTGCGTGCTTTCGGCGAGCGAGGCGAGCGGTATGGGTCAACTGCACACTCCAAGTCTCCCGCTTCTTGCGCCTCGCTCGTCTTTCAGGTCTCTCCTTCGGCTTGGTTCTGCAAAGCCCTAAGCAGCGTCACGGCCTCGCTGACATTGGCCTCTGTATAGTCCAAGGAATCCAAGCGATCGATACACCGGCCAACCCGCTTCCAGTACTCTTTGCCCTGCCGAAGCACTTCTTCACGACTCCTCGCCAGATCGACGTCGCTCTGCACTGCAGCATTGAAGACCTGGACCTTCTTGAAGCCCGTCCTCAAGCGCACAATCATGTCGCAAAGAACAACCACAGGATCCAGGCGGGAAATGCTGCGGCAGCAGAAGCTCATGCAGCAGACATAAACCGCTGTGAGCACTGTTCCGGCGCATTTGCGGAGGAGGTAGGTGGTGCAGGTGCCCGCCTCCAAGTGCGGACAGCCTTTTGCCAGACCGACCACAACAGTGGCTGCATTGTACGTACAGAAGATGGCTGCACAACACAAGCTCAGCAGCACCTGCTCGTGCAGCCGCGACTGGAGCAAGATCGACCAACAGCCCACGGCCAGCCGGCGTGGATAAGAGGGCACGGAGGGAGACATGCAGCCACAAAGGCGTCTGCCACGACAGCCGCCACACCGCAAAAGAGTGGCCAAAGCTCGCGGCAAGCAGTAGCACATATGAGGAATGCAGCAGACCACTTCACAGGCGAAGTCGAAGCTCCCCAAAGGTGCAGTCGACTGGCTGCGCTCGTAGTAGAGGAAATTGTAGCCCTCAGCCTGAAGCTTCAGAAGAGCGGCCTTGTTCATGCTGTCAAAGCTCCCCCGCAAGGGGATCCGGCAGCCTCCTATGTCGAGGTAGGGGTTCGGGTCCTCTTGACCATCGGGTTTAAAGGCAGCCACGATGGCGATGCCTTTGTCGATCTGCTCCCCTGTGAGCTCGACGGGGTTCCTGCGCAGCTCACGGGACGTCGCCCGAAAGTCCCCGAGGCGTTTCGTCCAGGAAGCACAGCAGACATCGGCGAGCTGCTCAGACTGACCAACTATGTCGCCATCGCGGACTGCAACTGCAAGTAGGCCCTCAGCGCGATCTTGCGGCAAGAACAGGAGCCTCGCAAGGCTCGGGGTGATCTCCTTTGCCTTTACAGGAAAGCTCGGAGAGGAGCGCTCCCAGCGGTGGATGCGCGAGAGGAGGCGGAGGGCGTCCCTGGCCCGGCTTTGGCAGATCTCCTGGGCCAGGCAGTCCAAGATCGCTTGCAGCTCGGCGATCGCCCGCTCTGCTCGGCCGAGGGCTGAAACCGTCGCTGCCAGAAAGCTTCCGAACTCGCCCTGCAGCTCAAGCGTCCGAGACTGCAAGTCGTCATCGTAGTACCAGATCACCTTCAGACAGACGATGGCCATGGTGAAATAGACGAGCAGACCCAGGATCTCCATGAAGCAGAGCGGAGCACCGATCAGCAAGACCCCGAATTTGCCACACTGGCCCTCGGAAAGCCTGTTCAACCACATAGCCGTCCAGGCGCAGGAGAAGAGGAAGCAGATGTAGGTGCAGAAATGCACGCCGTCACGAGGCCAGTAGAGATCTACCAGGAAATCCCAGCCCTCGCCCACCAGGGATTTCAGACAGCTCTTGCACCCATGAAAGGAAGATGAGGTCTCCCGCGCCGAGCCGAGGAATCCGGTCTCCACATCAGCCATCTTCCCATTAGGCATCCCACACCATCACCCTGGATCCTCCTCCCTCCTCGAGCAAAGAACCAGCGGCAGACCAGGCGCCCTTCAGAGCTCAGAGGAGTTCTGAGCCAAGATGATGCTATCATCAGCATTCTGATATGTTCATCCTTCTTCTACTTATAGTTAGCATCATCATAATTACTATTGATGATATTACTACCCTTCCTATGATCATTAGGTTTACTACTATTGGTATTATTCGCCATCTCTTTGAGCTGGAGCCTCGCTCCATCTCCGGTAGCGGAGGATGAAGGCCGGGTAGACCTGGCACGATCGCTTCGAGGACCAGACCCTGAACGGCCCCAAACCCCTTTCACCCCTAAACCCTACAAACCCTACAAACCCTAAACCCTACGCACTAAACCCTAAACCCCCAAACCCCTAAATCCCTAAAACCTCGAAAACTCCTAAACCCCTACACTTCAGAGCCTGAACCCTCAGGAGACTTCCAGAAAGAGCTCCGGGAACCTGCCCTGGCCTGGTCCGAATCGTAGAGAATGAACTCCCGGAAGGTTCCCACCTGCAGTGGCCGTCACCCGCGAGTGTAGGACCGTAGGATGTTGAGTTTGTAGATTCAGGGTTTAAAAGGACCTAAGATTTTCAAAACCGGAGTGGAGTTTAGTAGGCCGAGGATGTGACGGCAGCCCAGCGGTCTCCAAGCAGAGAATCGTATCCACCAGCCTTGCACCTCAGGCAGGCAAGTCGGATCTCGGCGACGAGCAGAGCAGAACGACATCGATATCACACATTGCTGCGTGACCGCGTTTGCCAGAGCGGAACGGGTGACGGCAACGGCTTGCGCATAGGCCCCGCGCTGATCCAAGATGTCAGCAGGAGGCTTCTTCTCCTTAGGTTCACGTGCACATGGAGACACATCCGTTGACGAAGTCATCCAGTCCCCACAAAGTTGTCGAGTTGGGACGATACGTTCCTACAGACAAAACAAACCGCGAACATTGAAAGTAGCCGATCCAACTACGCAAAGGATAAGTGCACCCAGGTTGCCTTGCAGGTCATGACCTTGCCCAAAGCTACTCTGCACAAGAGCATCCAGCAATAGCCATCTGCATCCTCCTCGCAGTACTCATCGGCCTCGCTTTCTTTCTGCTCAAGAGGCTCAACCCTGAACAGCCCTCGCCCCTGAAGCAGGGCTTCAACGTATCCGAGACTGCCTTGGTAACGCACTCCGCAAAGTAGATGCCCTTGCCGTAGAGCGTACCCCTGTCATGGGGGGGTTCATGGTCCCGAACAGTGGAAAAGGCAGGTCGAGGTGCGTTCTGCGCCTGTGGCTCCCGGCCTTATCCAGCCGGAACCTTAGGAAATTCGGCACGAGGCTTGTACCAGCAGATGCGATAGGGTTTCGGGTCTAGGGTTGAGGGGTTTACAGGTTTGGGCTAAGGCGGGTACGGCTTTGAGCTTAGGGTAGAGGGGGTTTAGTGCTTCAGAGAGTTCGGGTCTTAGGCTCTTCGCCCTCTTGGGATTTACGGGTCCAAGCCGCTCCTGATCCGAAATGTGCTGCACCGCTGCTGCCGACGTGCCGTGGAAGAGCCTCAGGTCTGCTCAGAGGCAACCAGAAGACCCAGAGAACAAGTTGTGTAGACAAGACAGATAGTTAGATTGCTAGATAGAAAGATAGATAGATAGATAGATAGATAGACGAATAGATGGATAGATGGATAGATGGACATATGAACAGTTGGATGGATGGATGGATGGATGGACGGATGGATGGATGGATGGACGGACGGACGGATGGACGGATGGATGGACAATTAGATGGATAGACTGGTAGACGGATACACAGGTAGGCAAACACAGGCAGATAGGTACATAGGTCGATAAGTAGATCGGTAGGTAGGTAGGTAGGTAGGCAGGTAGGTGGGCATGTAGGCAGATAGGTAGAGCGGCAGATAGAAAATAGATAGGTCGATAGATGGATAGGTAAATAATTAGATGGATAGACTGGTAGACGGATAGACAGGTAGGCAAATACAGGTAGATAGGTAAATAAGTTGACAGGCGGATCGGTAGGTAGGTAGGTAGGTAGGCAGATAGGTAGAGCGGCAGATAGACAAATAGATAGGTCGATGGATGGACAGGTAAATAGGTAGATAGCTACATAGCTGACAAAATGCCGATATGCTCTGCAAACACAGTACTGGGTATATAAGTATATACACTCACACCTTCTTCGAGCACTACACTTTGTTGCACTGTTTTCACAGACAAAAACAAGCACTGCTCCCAGTGCTGGGGAGAATGCCATTGCTCGTTGGAAGAGGTATCCCGCTTTCCCAGCGTCTCGTGCAACTGCTTGCAGTCCAATGTGCCTGCACAGGGGCTTTCCTAAATGTCTGAAACCGGAAACCCCTGAAGCCCTAAGCCCTAACGCCTGCAACCCCAAGCCCCTAACCCCTGAACCCGCACCTGTAAACCTCTACAGTGTACTACAGCCGTAAGCCTCTAAATGTCTTGTAGAAGACTCCCATCGCAGAAGCCGGCGAAAAGGGAGGGAGGTTCAGCGTTTAAGCGTTTTAGTGCAATGGGCCGGGTTTTATTTTAGACTTTGGGGTTTTAAGGCTGTTGGTTTCAGCATTTTGTGGTGTTGGAGTATTGCGTCTCGGGGTCTGGGCTGTAGGGTTGGGGCTATGTTGAGAAACTCGCACTTCTGGCCAAGAGTCTGGTAAGCAGCGAGGACTGCAGCCCGAACGGATCCCAACTCTGTCCTTCGCCTTGGACCACGTGAGAAGGATTTGGGCTTCAGGGTTTTCGGGTTGTGCGGATTTCGAACCCTTATAGGGCGTACCCTGAAAGAATCCTTGCATTAACCTCGCAGAGCCCTTGTACGCATTTTTTGGCCAGGGTTTAGACTACGGTTTAGGGACAGCAGGATGCAGCAGCAAGGAACAGAAGAGCACAAACACTTATCCTTATTCCAAGGACCTTGAATTAGGGCACCGCAAGATTTTAAGAAAGCCTTTAGACAAAAGAGTATAAAACAGACCTCAAGCCCTTCTCAACCCTAAAAAGAGCCCCAACGAAGCCCTGCAAAGAACCTGCTTGAAAGCTGCCAACTGCCAGTGACCAGCCAGAGCACTATTGCCCAAATCGGAGACCGTCGTGTGGGCGCTGTGGAGCCCCCTTTCGGCCTGGAGCCGGTTGTAAGCTTCATAGTAGAAGCAAGAAAGTTGGAACATTCTTACCCTCATGCCGTTTAGAGGAAGCATATTGGATCCCAGCACTTGTCATCCTAAACCCATGTGCCAACTTTCCGGAGTTCGCTGTGGTGTTGAGGGCTTTAGGCCTTTCGGGGTTCAAGATCTCCGGCCTAGGCTTTGGGTCTTTGGGCCCTGCTCATCGGACAGTTCAAGGATGACGCACTGCTTAGCCAAGCTGGCAATGTCGGAGGCCCTGCGACCGAGCTGCGGCAGTCATGGAAGAGCTGCAGGATTCGGAGTCCGAATGCTGCTTGTCCCACTGGTACGCTGAAAACACCTCTTGCCCGGACTTCGGGTTTAGGGCTTAGGATCAAAACGCTGGGAGCAAGTCAGCGAGGCCAATGATACATGGGTGGTTGCCAAAATTAGCTTATTTGGGTCCTTTTTTACAACACGGCAGCTATGATTTTAGGGTACCCAAAAAGGGGACCCTAATTTTGACAACTACCCACATGCTCCCGCCACCTTGTCGCAGATTCGGCGCCTCGCCTGGACGTGCCCAGTGCTCTACATTAAACTCATTTCATTCTCGCCATTATGATCACGAGTACCATGTATGGCATTCTCACTATTATCACTATCCTCATGATCAGCATGATTGCCAGTATAGACATATTGCCATTAAAAAACATGTTTACCAGAAATTAGCATTAAATTCCGAATGAGGATTAGCATGAGTATTGGCATATGACTAGTATTGGTATTAGTAACCGTATTTGTCTTGGCTTTAGCCGTGACGTTAGTAATATTGTCAGCACAGGCATTGGTATTAGTAATAGTGCTACTGATACTGTTCGGTATCATTGTTTCTGCTGTTGTTGATGTGGTTGATGTTGTTGATGTTGCTGATGTTGCTACTGTTGTTGTTGTGGTGGTGGTCGTCGTCGCCGTCATTGTTGTTGGTGGCGGTGGTGGTGGCGATGGCGATGGCGATGGCGATGGCGGTGGTGGCGGTGGCGGTGGCGATGGCGGTGGCGGTGGTGATGGTTATGGTGATGGTGGTGCTGGCGCTGATGTTGTTGATGTTCTGTTGTTCTTGTTGATGCTGCTGGTGTTGCTAGTATTTGTGTGTTTTCAGTCTTGGCTTCGTATGTTTAAAGTGCGGGAGCAATCACTCATATTACAGTCACAGTCATAATGCAAGATTTCCAGGCACAGCCTTGTCGTACTCCAACCAGGCAGCGCCATTCTGAACCCGCACCGCTTCGGCAATTTCAAGCCGCATTGGCACTGGGTTCCCGCGACCTCATCGAGTCGTTCTTGGTCTCACCATAACGACCGCTACTTGTAGCTGCTACGTATCGTGATCTTCATTGCTGTTGCTCGTGCTATTGTATTGTAACTCCTCATCTCGGCTTGCGAATTTCGCTATGACGGTTGTCGCGATGACGAGCACTACTTTTGTTGTCAGTATTACGAGCTTCTGGCAACTCCGGTACATACCGCGTGCTCTGCTTCATTTTATGGCTCATCTGTTTCTGTTGCTACTGTTAATAGTCTAATGATTCTACTGACTCTTGGTACTGCTATCGCCCTCCGTACCCAGAATAGAACTGATGAGATGACGGTGAAACGGACATCTCCTGACACTGGGCAAGAGGCGGTCTTTGGTGGTCTTGCAAACGAAGCAGTGGTCCAACAACCTCAGGCCCCGCGGAGCATTGTAGGGCTGAGGGTTTTTGGTTTAGAGTATAGGCAGTATAGGGCTTAAGGTCGAAAGCTTCGGGTTTAGGGGGGTTTAGAGTCTTGGCGGCTTGGGGATGGCATTCGAATGTTGTCTGCCGTGCTACCAAGGATCTTTTGGAACGCATCGTTGCAGCTGGAGTCCAGGGTCTCCTTGTTCACCTGGCGTCAGCTGAGAGGGAGTTTCCGAAAGTAGGGGACCCTAATGTAGCACCCTAAATAGTAGGATCCGTATTACAAGGACCCTAAGATGAGGCTCCGAAATCGTCTCCCGGAGCTCCACCCGAGGCTTCGACCATCTTCGCAGCCGAACCACCCACGCCACGGCTGAGCATGGCCTTGCGCAGACGTGGGTTTCGATGTAACACTGTCAGGTGTCTTTTGGCTGTTGGCTTCTGGGTTGCCCTCGACCCTGAATCCGAGAGATCAGAAGAGACAACCTCGTGCACATCCGAGTGCCCAGCCCTGAACATGTAGAAAGTTGGCTTCAAATCGCACTCTGGGATATCGGGGCCGGATGAACGGGCGCCTCCACGTCCCAGCCGGGAGGTAAGCTCTTGCTGATAGCACGACCCGCATGAGCTTTTACCTCGGCATTCGCGGCCAAGCTTTGCTACGATAAGCGTCACACAAGCTACAACATGGCTGCCAAATGTTGCTCTTTGAGGAATTCCTAGTGGGACCGTCAAAGATCGGCAAATCCCCGGCCAACAGGTGAGACGGCTTGACGTACAGCATTTTATGCCTTGGCATAGGCGCTATCAGCTACAGTATGCACCACACGTCCAAGTAAGAACCATGACGTCCCTTACCTCTAAACTGAAGCTAGCTAGGTTACAGCATGTTTGCAGAAATGAGGATCCTGCGCTGAGCGCCCTCCCAGAACCTGAAACCCTCGCAGCGGCATCTCGACTCTGTCATCTGAAAATTCTGCTGATGCTGACAACCCTAGCTTCATGACCCCGAAAAATTCCGGGGGTCCCTAGTACAAACCCCAATAAGAGCCAGAGATTTCTTCCAGTAGCTACAGTACCGCATTTGCTGAATCCACTGGCCAAAGACACCGCTCGGGCCCAAGTGTTGGCACTTTCATCGCTCTCCGCGCGAGCTTGCAGGCAGCCTTTTTGGTTCCTCATATGGAGCGTCAGCGTCTTGCCTGTCGGTGGCGCAGGCCTATGTCTATAATTACTGGGTCTGTTTCTAGCGGCGCTCTGTAAACAAACCGGCACGTTTAATTAGCCCGCCTGTCACTGCAACTTCCTCGAGCTGCGCCAGGAGCAGGACGGCCACTGGGGCCACCCGCGAGCCTGGCCACTGCGCCACACAGCACAAGGCGCAAGGCGCAGTCAAACGCCGTGGTGCCTCGATGCTGTGGCGCAGTCGCCCAGCATAGCAGCTGGGCATCCACCAGCTGGATGTAGCGCTTTTTCCAGAAGAGGCCTGAAGGAACAAGGCTCGTGCGAAGACCTGAAAAATCCGAGTCGCCGGACGGCATCGAAGATTCGCCTGCTACCGGCGTGCCAGCTGATGCTTTCGCCAGGCGCGCGACCTGACACCGGGCCCGCCTGGATCTTGGGAAAAAGAACTGTTGGCGACAGGGTGCAGTTGAGCCTGCAGGCGATTCCCCCCACTGGGCTCACCGTAACCTGAGCTCTGATGTTCCGCCACAGACATAGCCCGGCACACCCTTGCGAATGAGCCACACATTAACCATCCGCGCATCTCTTCGAGAGGCTCTCTCTCCTCGACCTGAACGAGAGCTCGGCCAAGCACTGCTCCAATTAAAGTGCCCCCGTGTCACCTCCACGACGTCGTCATCCGACTCATCGCTCGCGCTGCTCTGCTTCTGCTCCTCCTCCTCCTCCTTAACCAGGATCTGACCATGTGCACCATCGTATGTCGTGTTACTTCTACCTTTTGAAGAGGTTGCCACGAAAAACCCACCAAAAGCCACCCCTGACCTTCGGACCCTGGGCCGTGAGCCTCGACTTCCCTAAGACGCTTTCGCGGCCCGGCAGCTGGAGGAGTTGAGCGTGGACTCGGACTAGGATCACGAGAAACACTAAGCAGCGGCAAGTCGTCAAGAGGAAGCTCTTCTGGCTGCGATGACCTGGTTTGACGGGGACTCTGCCAATGTCCCGCAGGGCACGGGGAACCGGCAGTATAGTACTGCAGAGCTGAGCCGAGAGCGACATGCATTCAAATGTATGTAGACCTCGGAGAACTGAGAATGAACACTTTCGGAGCCACTCTGCTACTTTAGGACGAGCCACGGCCAACGGGTCTGTCCTTCACGGATCCTCGCTTCATCCCGCACCAGAAGCTGAAAGAAAGGGGCAACTTAGTGCGGGCTAAGAAACCGATTTCCATCCTCGGCAGGAGTTGTCGAGATTCTTCGCAAGGCTCTTATTCAAGGCTGAGGGGCGCTTTGGCGTTTAGGGCTTGGTTTTTCGAGCTCACTGCTTCTCCATGCCGAGGTGCCCATCAGCGTCGCATACTGCAAACACTTTATCTGTGCTTTCGTGGTCGAGCTTGAGCGACTGAACTTCTTCCAGCAAGGGCAGCGCATCGGACTGCGACTCTGTACAGCTACATGCAGCCTCGGTGTGAGTCGCCAGGCTTGCCAATGCACGCAAAACTGCAGTGCGCGATTCGTCTCAGATGATTTTGCCTAGCGGCTCGCCAGAAACCGTTCATAGCAATGGATTCCTGAGACCTTGGTTGATGCGAGGCTTCTTGCTTCAAGACGACTGCCAGGCAGATGACCGAGGGATCCTTGACGAGGTGCAGGTGAGAGCGTCTTCACGACCGCAGAAGAGTCTTCACGACTACATGCGATAGTCGCGGCCCTTCCAAATTAAGCTCGCCTCGCTGCAAGCAGTGGAAAAACCGCTCGTCCTTGTCACAGGCGCTCAGGAAAGACGCCCCCAAACACGAGATGCAAGATGATGCAAGAACGGGCCGGCGCGCCTAAAAAGACTGAACACGTCGGCTGATAGAAACTACTCAGTTTGAGCCACACTATAAAAACTCTGCGGGAGCCGATACGAGTATCCACCAAGATCTGCTGGAAACCTGCCGAGAACGAACGGCTTGAGCCGGGCCTTGGTGCACGACTCGATGGAGCTCGCGACGAACTTATCGGTGTTTTGGCAGTCGTCCTGCGCCGACTTCAAAACAGCAGGGGGGGAGGGGGTATGCTCGCCTGCGCAGGTTTTTCTCTGCGTGTCAGGCATGGAGCTGTGCTAACCTAGACCTCGTGACCTGGTGCGTTTGCAACAGGCCTTCGGCACGAAAACTGCAGCGTCCCAGTGGAAAATGCTACTTCGCGTCTTTGGCGAAGCAGATTTCTACTGGGCCTTGACGGGACCGCCTTGAAACTCGAGGAGAAACTCGAAGCTCCGACGCACCTCAGGTGCTGTTGGGCATGGCCTCATATTCCAAAACCAGCAAGGAGATAGCCGACGTAGCGCCAAGAATGGCCGCGGCCACGAGGGGCACTGCGGGAAAGCCCAAGTGTTGATAGATGCCTGCTGCCAACAGCGGCGCCCAGAGGTAGCCGACGGAAGTACAAGCCATGCTGACACCCAAGACTTGACCCTGCTCCTCTTGCGACACAAAGAGGGTCAGGGCGCTATTGATTGCCACATTCGAGGCATGTGAGGAAATCACCAAAGGACCCAGCAATGCTGCATAGCTGATAGGGCCGCTCGCAAAGGCAAGGCTACCCAGGCTCAGACCGATAACAGCAGAGGAGCCTAGAACCAGGATTCTCGGGCTCTGGTTACCCAGCGCAGGAGCAACTACAGCTTGCGCCACGAGATAGGCAATGCCGATGTAGGTTGTCATCAGCCCCGCCGAGGACAGGGACAACCTAAAGGGATCCAGAGCAAATTGTTGCAGCAGGCCCAAGATCATGCCTGCACTTCCCGTCGTGACCGCCTTGAAGACCAGCAGGGTTGGCACATAGCGATGGCGCGCCAGGTCACTCAGACCAGAATTCTTCGGCGATTGCGAGCGTTCGGCCAGGTCTTCTGAATCATTCCGAGGGGACTCGGGGTACAGAGCCCAGACCACCAGCCATGTGCAAACGTCCATTGCCACGGAACAGGCAGCAATGCCTCGCGGGCTAAAGTTCACTGCAAGCCGGGTGATAACGACCGATCCTGCCAGAAAGCCTATGCCGTACGCAGTGCCGATGCGGCCAAGCGCTTTGGTGCGGCTGCTTCTGACGGAATGCAGAGTCGCCACCTGCTGTGCTGCCTGATAGCCATGCTTGGCCACCAAGGGAATGCAGCCCAAATAAAGGAAGGCTTTGGAATGGGCCGCTGCAAAGATTGCGCTGCTGCAGATCGCAGCCGAGTGCGCGGCCAACAATGCGGCCTTTGGGCCGTAGTTGTCTGCGAAAAGGCCGAAGGCGGCGCCGCCACCGGCTTGCAGCAGGTTCGTGCCCATCTGCATCCGAGCGAAATCTGACAGGTCCCCCCCGAGCTCCAAGTTGATCCGGGGCAGAACCACGTTGATCGCCTCGCTGCAAACAGCGTAGAGCACCTGAGAGGTTTGCGCAACTGCCATGCTCTGGATGGCAACGCCCTCGGGACAGCAACCCAAAAAATCCGCTGCCATCTCTGCCGTCAGCTTCGACGGCTTCGTGCGCAAGCAAGGTGATACTGCCCAGGACGTCCATGCTGTCGGCCAGCCCGGCATTCCACGGGGCAGCTGATCTGAGAACGGGCTACAAGCCAGAATACTGGCATAGAGGAGAAGCTGTAAAACAAGAGACGCTTGGGAGCTTCGGATAATTCGGGGCCCTCATATGAGCACCAAACAGGACAAACTCACTCATATGCCCCGAACTCTAAACGGAGCCATCCTTGCCGTCAAGCGCCAAGGACCCAGGAGAAGACGGGACCCGAAAAGAACAGATCCCCCAAATACAAGGATCCCTACTTCGAAAATCCTTAAATGATATTGAGGGCTGAAGGGCCTTTCATGGACTTGCAGGGCTTATGGGCACAATTGACTTGTGAGTTCCAGGGCTTATCGGGCAGAGCTCGTAGGGTTCATAGGGCTTCGAGTGTCTATAGGGCTGGCTTATAGCAAAACCCTCTCTGCGGGGATTTCAGGAACGGGCCGCTTCCTGAAAGCAGCCGACCGTGGCACCGAAGCCCTGCAAGTTCCTCAGTAGGAATTGCACAGGGACGCCTATATATTATGGTTAAAGGCTACCATTTCCATTCTCTAAGATGTAAGGTAGATAAGGTAGAAGGTTACATGTTTATAACAGTTAGCGGATAATTTCCATTTTCTAAAAATTCCCACCTCCCTAGGCCACCTGAAGACCCAAACCATAACAACCTATACCTGAACCCTAAACTCACCAAAAGACCCCATACGAAAGACCCACCCGAAGACCAAAACCATAACAACCTATACCTCAACCCTAAACTCACCAAAAGACCCACACCAATACCGTGGAACCACCAGAAGACCCATAGGAAGACCCACATAGAAAAAACCCAACCTCAACCCCATACAGCAACACGTAGAAAGAACCATATTCCGAAATCCCTAACCCTTGAACATGGAAATGGTATCCGCCAATAAAATATCTACAAAAGGAATAAGGTTTAGGAATAAGGAAAAACCATAATACATTTATCATCTGTAAAACAACTTACATAAGGTTTTAAACTACATTATACTTATAATTTATCAACTGGAATTTCAATGATTATCCTATCCTTATGCTTACCAAATAACATAAAGTCATGTTCTAAAACTCGTCGTTCATCAGCAATTGCCTAACGTGGTTGAAAACTTCGTCAATTTCAGGTCTAGGTTTCTCGTTTTCAGGTTGTTCTTCTTCTGGCTTGTCTTGAAACTTGTTAGGGCATTGTTCGTTTAATCGTTTGCGTATTTCCCTTTTCTGCTTTTCGTGTGTTCCGCCTTGCTCTCTGCTTGCAATTCGTCGTTTAGTTTGCCTTCTTTCCTCAAATTACCTAGCTTTGTTAAATCACCTTTCATCAATACATGTAGTTCCGAGTTCGGATGTAACGCATAATGGAAAGGGGCATCCCAGTTTTCGTTTTCTATTTTGTGCCAGCAGTCTTCACATAATTGGCTCCCTTTTGCTCTCTCTTCTCTTCTCGCTTGGTCATATTCCTTCTGGTTTTTCTTGTAGCATTTTCTTTTCGCTTCACGGCACCAAGTACAAGTCTTAAAGCCGTCAAACTCTTCAACATCTTCAGTCGCACAACACGATTTACACACGCATGCATACATACAAATGAACTTGCCAGGAGGTGAGCATGCCAGGGACCGCGCGTGAAGAGGGCACGTCCTGCATTCCTGATGACCATGTTATTCTCCTTCGGCACAGGAGATGCGGCGGAAAGTCTGCAAAACGACTGCCTGCATTCATGAGTTCATCCAGCCCTAAACCATAAACCCTAAATCCGTAAACCATAAACTTCTGGCTTTCGACAAGAGGGTTCCGCTGGCAAGTTGCAGGGGGGCCTGGCACCCTGGCCAGTCTGCCATGGCGAGGCTCCAAGATGCGAGGCCTGAGACTGAGAGGGAGCGGAGCCTGAAGCTTGGGCTTGGGATTTGGGATGTTTTTTTTTTGTGGAGGGCTCTTTTCCAACTGGCTTAGGGATGTTTAGGGTTTAGGCTTTAAGGGTTTTAAGGCTTCGCGGATGTTTGGGGTTTTAGGGGCTTCTAGGCTTTGTCTGGGCCCGGGGCCAAGCAGCCGCGCAGACCACGCCTCGGTTGAGCAGCCCTTTGTGCAGAAGCACACAGAGAACGCGCTGCTTAGGCTTCCTTGGTTCCTGTTTAAAGGGATCCTTAAAGGGCTACTATAAGGGATATATAGTAGGGTTCTATATATATACTACTAAAGGGATCCTTAAAGGGTTACTATCAGGGATCCATAACTATAGTAGGGTTCTATAATATACCACCAGTCTGTTTTCCTCTGAGCCTCGGGCCATTGGCGAAACGCATCGACCGGCGCACTGCCGCAGGCCGCACTTGAGCCGCGTCTTCCAGGAAAATTGCCAGTATGAACACCGGGTTTAGGGTTTCGGGTTTTTTTTTTTTTTTTTTGCACGCCTTTTTCCATCTGCTAGTGCGGGTCTGCAGCTGAACGTCCGGAATCCGCATTTGCGGAAGGCCTATGTCCCTGTTGCCCTCTCTGACTCAGTCTCGTTCACTCCGAACATCCGAACTTTCCGATGGTTGACGATCGGCTTTGTCCTCCTCGCTTTCTTGCTGACCTGCTGTCTCCACGGAGCTGTCCAGAACCGTGCTCTGGTCTGTGGTCCCCTGCAACCCTGCCCATTGGCTAAGGATCTCCGCCTGTGCCTGCACATACTCCTCGGATACATCCCAGAGCACTTCCGACCCTAACACTGTGGCAACCTGATGTAGCCCAGATTCTCGAAGCTGCTGGAACCGTCTCAACCACACCAAGCCTGGCCTTTCTCGAACTTGGGAGTCCGTACGTTCGCCACGGCACCATTCCACGAACATCACCATGACACACGACATCGGGACTCTCGGGGGGTCCCGTACCACCGGCGTGTCAGGAATCAATGGACACGGCTCACTCGGGCTTGGGTCTCGCCTCATGTCAAGCTCAGAGCCCAGATATGGTTCTATGGAGTCAAGTCCCCAGTCACGCCATAAGTAAAAGA